AATCCATAAAAATATAAAGTCCCAGAACATACTATTTCATACTGACCTAAAAAGTCTCAGTAGAAAAGAACCATCACATTCTGCCACTGTTGTTTAAATTCAAGTCAAAGATTTCACAGAGGAATAAGCAGCAGCTTTGGAATATCTGCAAGAGAAATAAGGGTGAGAGGTGAAGGGGGGACACAGCAGACGGTGGACACAAATGTTAATACAGGCTTCTGGCAACCTGATCCTCCATGACATTATAACACAGACTGGCAGAGTCTATTAGCCTGGGATTATACTTCTTATGTATGTAGTCTGGGAAACTCTATATTTTAATGTGTAATTCTATAATTAGGAAAAGATACATTTAACTGTATACAGAAGGAAAAGGAGTGAGAGGAAGGTGAGGCGATGCAAAAGTATTTGTATATTTTCAGTTCAAGATAACTCAATGTGCGTTGCATTAAAAAACATAAACAACATTAAAATAATAATAATAAAATAAAAATAAATGAATAAATAAAGGGGAGACAGAATACAACACATCAACAGATTAAATATAATTAACACAATTATTTGTGTTAAAAAAAGTTCACTGATTTCATAGCTCAAGTGCAACCCACTGAATTTGACAGTAAATAAATCCCAATTATTTGTCATAACTTACAGAATATTATTGTTAAACATTTGCCAGAAACACACACAGTACAGGTCATACAGTTGACATTTATGAGACAGTCACATGTGTGCAGTTAGTAGCTGCAGCAGGGAGTGCACTGTGGTGCTCCCTCCAACTAAATTTAGTGTGACAACACTAGAACATCACATCAATGAATCATTTATGGCATTGCCCAGGACTAAATGGATAAAAACATTGCAGCTGGCATGTAAGCCCCAACCCCCCAGTGATGATTTCAGATGAAGAGATGCTCGCAGCAGAATAGCTAATTGCTACAAGTGCAAACATTGTGGCCCCTGGTGTCAAGAAAACTAGGGTGGTGTAGGGGGCGTAGCTTCCCCTTCAAAATGAACACGGTCCACATTGAGAAATCCACATCAAGAGAGCACGAGAGAGATACATACATATAAATATCTATATATGTGTATATATATATTATTCAAAGAGAAAAATAAAATACAATTAAATGTATTAAAGTTAAATAAAATTTAACTGAAAATGAAACAGGAAATTGGATTCAAAGAAACTCTTTATGCCAATGGCACATTTCGAATCAATCAAATCACTTTTTCCTAAATTTCTAAAAAAAAAAAAAAGTATACTATTTATATATAGTACATAGTACTATTTCAAAATACGTACAAATGATATGCAGTCTCATGCAGTATTGGTTTAAAAAAGAACAGAGAAAAGAGTTAAAGGTGTTTTGTTAAATTGCTCGTATCGTAACAGAACCAATCCTACAGTAGGCACCTATCAGTGTCGCTGCATTGCAGCGGTGTGTCGTTAGTTTTGTTTGTGCGTACATAAACCTGTGACACAACGTAATGCTTATTACTTCTAATTTGTTGACAGCGATAAATATAAAGGGTAAACTACTTAGGTGGTTAGAAAAATCACTGTTGTCATGGTGAAATATTACTGATTTAAAATAAATCCTCGGCCCACAACCTTCTACACAGGACTGAAGCATGTTTTCATGGTGCCATTCGAGAACTTTTTTTCTTTTTCTTTCGGCTTTGTCCCTTTTTCAGGGGTTGCCACAGCGAATCATTGTTTTCCATCTCTCCCTGTTCTCTGTATCTTCTACTCTGACTCCAACTATCTGCATGTCCTCCCTCACTACATCCATATATCTCCTCTTTGTCTCCTCCCTGGTAGCTCCATCTC